TGTCTTAATGTGACGCACCAGATCACTTCCTGCTTTCCTCTTTGTTAGCAGCTGGCCATCCTTCCCTGGAACAGACAGCTTGCAATCGCTTTCTACAGCTCCCCTCCCTGCTCCATGCCATGTGAGAGCTGGTAGTACAGAAAGGCCCCTTTCTGCTCACTATGCCCCGGTATTTTGTACTGACTCTTCTTCTTCCTGTAACACAGCCGGTCACTGCAGCACTTTCATTCCATGATTCTCTAAGAACGAAACCCAGAGGCCAAAGCCTGCAAGCAGCTGGCAGCAGGGACTTTCCATGAGTGAGGTGCTCTTGGCCAGTCAGAGAGCAAAGTCAAAAAGGGTCTTATCAGCAATTGCCCAAATTCTGCCATTGCTCCCAGGCAGGTAACTCCGTGTGACAGCAGAGGAGAGGCGGGATAGTCCCCTGGTTACAGTGCCTCTGACAAACTTCTTGTTTGATCACAGGCAAACCTCTTACTCTTCTGTGCAGCTAGTACCCAGTTCAGTCTCCAGCTGTAGGCCACTCAGGCCTTGTCTAGAGACTTCTGCACTGAGGTTATGCCCAACTCAAGGAAACCTTAGCTCTGCTCTAGCCTACGGACCTCACTAGTGCCCCAGTGTAGTGCCTTCCTGCCATGCCCCTTTCCTGGCCTGCACCTGGCACACCCTGAGGGCAGGGTTGCCTGTCTGCACCAAACCTGTTTTAGGGGTATGTGTCAGTGTATGGGGGGCAGCTCTGCCCCTGAGAATCATACATGGGTATTAGCGACTACAGTCTGCTACCACCTGTGGAGCGGGGTGAGGGGGAAGATGCTTTCCCAGCAGCCTCATGTAACAACCACAACTGGAGCACAGCTGCGTGTGAGTTGGGCAGCACCATGCTGGCAGATTGCTGCTATGCCACAAGCATCAGGGCCTTGGGGCCCTCTCTAGGCAGCCCTCATCCTGCCCTGTTTGCTGGCCAGAGGTGAAACATGGTCTTTGGCAGAGTGCACAGCAATCCAAGGGTCAGGTGGACAAGCTGGGAACCACTGGGCACATCTATACATGTGGCAGACTGTGCAGATTGTGCAGTCATTTAGTACTTGCTTAACCAAGTACTAAATGACTGCGCAGTAACCAGTGTTACTGTGCAGTCCCATCTCCGCACGGTTATTTTTAGATACTACTGTGCAGTAGCAATCAGCTACTGCATAGTAGCTTGTTACTGTGCTGTAGCATCACCATCATGGTTTGTGCCCAGCAACGCTATGGCACTGTAGCAACAAGCTACAGAGCAGTAGCTCATTGCTACTTCACCATAGCATCTTGTGTAGATACGCCCACGGTGTTGTACACGGATGCCTTTCTCTGTAGACTTTCATCATGTTCTTTACTGCCACCAAAGCAGAAGCAGAGGCGCTTTGGTACCCCACGCTGTGGCCAGGTCAAATGCAGGCCAAGGCAGAGTGGGAAAACCTTGCTGCCATCTCACTTGGGAAGCTCTGAGGGCCAAGGACTGCCTTTGGGCCTGGAGCTGGTCCAGGGGGTGGCACAGTGGTGGCCTGGTCCATCTGGGAGCCTGGGGCTTCTGGGTGACCCTACGTTGCAAAGAAACTGTCCGTGGATCCCACGCAAAGCCAACTTCATGGATCTCAGTTGATTCCTAGGTGTCTGTACCATGTGGCAGGGATTGGTGGCCTGTGTTTTTAGTCCCACAGTTAAATGGGCCAGGGAGTCTGAAATCCTCTCTCATGGCCCTTCCTCTGAGGTCTGTACATGCATTATGAAGGCTCACCCCTTCTCTGCTTCCTTAAGGGCAGGACCTTTTTGAGACCTACATGCAGAAGCCACTGGAGAGTGACAAAATTAAGAGTTTTCTATCCCAGCTTGAGGCATGATGCCACGTGGGGGCACTGGAGAGTAATTTTCCCTTATTCTCATTAGCTTTTACTTTCCAAAGCACAACATGGTCTGAGACTAGTACAGGAGAGGGGCAGTCTGGTCCCATTGTGAACCAAGAGCTGTCAACCAGACAGCTGGTGCTGTAGAGTGAGTGTCAAGGAAGACCCAGAGCTGGCCCGGCTGCTAGTCGTTCTCTCCTCTGACCTAGGACACGTTGTTAGTGTCTGGGGACACTGCTTGCCATATTAAAAAGTATTAAAAAGCTGCTCAGTAAGGAAGCCAATGAAGTGCCCCACACCTGTCACGCTCAGTGACTTGAAATGAAAGCTGCTGCCCTCTGGGTTTTCTGTGATCTCTGCGTGTGGGTGTTCACAGCTGGGGATGGACCAGTTTGGGGGCCAGCACTGACTTTGTCGGTGTCAATGCACAGTGAGAACTTAATGGAGACAGTGGGGGGAGGGCTGAGTCCTGCCGCTCCAGAAGCACAGGCCCCTATTACTTGCCTGAAAGGAGACTCTCCCCTACCGGGTAGCACTACAGAGCTTATGATGCCCAGTCCAGCAGTTCTGAGTCTATGCAGCAAGTAGCAGTCAGTCCCTCAGGCACAGTCACTTCATCCCAGGGAACTCCCAAGGGAGGGGAAGAGCCATCAACGTGCGACACATTCCTCTGAGCCCCTTTCTAGGGAAGTCGGGGAAATGCCAGTTGAAGAGCAGCTTCCTAGAAACACTCCGCCTGTTGCTAAGCCCAGCCCCGCAGCCCCCTCCAGCTCAGGGAAAGGCACTTACACTTTCTGTCTCTTGTTTCTGACCCTGCTGCTGCATGTCTGTGCAAGCGCCTGGCCCGACTAGTTTGTCTCTCTTTGCAGCATTGCAGCCTGCAGGCTCCGTGCTGCAGCCAGGGTGGAATTTTGTCTGCTTGCAGGGAGGTGGGACTGCCCCGCTGCAGATCCCCACCAGGGGAGGAGGTGAATGCCAGGCACACAGCTGAAGGAGGCCAGTCACATGCAAGTGCCTAATCCATCTTAGTCAAAAGTGAGGACAAAGGTCACGTCGCTTACTGTGCAGTTGGACGCACGGGTGGCAAACTCCCTGCACAGGAACTTGGCAAGGAGCAGGCTGAATGCTGCTGCAGAGAGAACACCAGCCCGCTGTTGGGATTGGCACCGACCTCAAGGTGCCCGGCAAGACACAGGTTGCCCGTGCTGCTACCCCTGCACAGGTCAGGAGCTGAACAGGTAAGGGGTGGCTGGTCCAGGGCAAGAGCCACAATTTGCAGTCTGCTCACATGGACTGAGGGCTTCTTTTCCCCTGCTGTTGCCACGGGTGCGTGAGAGGAGGAAGGAGGAAGTTGTGCACAGTTCCCAGTCTGCAGAGCCAGTGAGGCAGCGGGTGTGATGTTGTTAGCAAATTCTACCAAGAGCCACCAAAAACCACCTAGGAGGAGAGAAAAGGCAGCCCCTGGCCTGGGGGGTTCTGCTGGATATTCAGAGCCAGGGGCAGCTCATGCAGGCAAGGGCAGGGGTAGCGGGGGAAGGAGCTCTGGCTTCCACCCCATGAAGCCCAGCAGCCCGGGAAGCCTTTGAAAAGCAGCACTGGCTCAGCAAGACGGCGTGCGCCTCAACTCCCTTCAATTCTGCTGCTGCCTGGAGTGTATTACACAACTGGCATCTCTTCCTCCCCAGCACAGCAGCTCAAAGCTGGTTCCTCTTTGCAGCATTTCTAAAGCAGAAGCAGGAAGCCCTGCAGGCTGAGAGCTCCGGAGCAGAGCCCAGTGTGTCCCAGCCTGGACTCTGCCTTACAGGGAGGTGAATGTGACACGGGGAGAGGCTCCCAGGGGCTGTGAGGCAGCATGGCCAGGTATGAAGGGGAAGGGAGCCTGAAGCAGCTGAAGATCCCTGAGCCTG